TAGCATGGACTTCAAGTCAAGGTAAGACCACATTTCTAATGAAAATGGGATCTTACTAAGAAAGAACAATCCAATATTTAGATTTTGGGTATCCTTTTGTTGAACGGTCTGTTTAAAATGAATCGAACCATCAGACTAAAAAAGCTTTTGAAAATAACCGAATATTTCGATTAAGGTCAAAATATAATATTTGTAAATCTGACTCAGTGAGTCAGTGCCTCACCAGCCATGAACCTCACCGCACGTCACTGGTATATACAGTGCAATAATTCTTTCATGCTAAATTAAGCTCTGTTGCTTGGATATCACTAGATCCTGTTACAGCGTAATATAAAAGTACATAACGATTGATGTGTAAATTAGCATAATTACTAGCTAACCGCTAGCTGCTAACTGCCGCCTCGTTAATATCAAATCTATCATAATAACAAACCATTACCATGCTGTCATGAACGTGCGGTGCTGTTACGTGTACGCAAATTGACGTGCTTGATGTGAACGAGCATTTTGGGGGGCATGGTTAAAGTTGCGCATGCGCTATGAGCGCACATACGGGTACTTCTCAGGCATGCCGGGTAATCTGTGACGTTTCGCTCTCTCAAAAGTTGGGCCATTTTATCATCATGCGCGAATGAGCAACTCTCATAGGAATGAATGAGGCCCCGCCTCCCACGCTGTATCCAGTTCTTATTATACATCCATGTCGCCCACCCCTAATGAACTGAGCAGGCAGAGTCCCTGTAGCTTCACGGAGACGGAGCAGCTAGCAGAGAGACAAGAAGCTAACAGCAGCAGTCACTTGACAGAGCTGTCACTCAATGTGACCACGCCCTAATTTATGCAAAAACTTTAAGACCTAATATAAATAAAAGGGTCATGTTAGAAAACAATTCACTCACAGATTCATAATCATGAAGGTGGAATCTAACTATATCAATAATAATATTTATTGCATCCAGGGCTAGAAACATGTTTTTTTCTGCTGTAAAATTGGGCATTTTAACATGGGGGTCTATGGAAATTGCTCCTTTCTGCAGTCATCGCCTATCGGCCAATATATGAACTGCAGTTTTTGGCACTTCCGTATTGGCGTCCCGGCTCTTCCCCAGAGTTTGCCGCTTGGCCCGAACGCAGCAAGCCGGTCCCGGTCCCAGACTCTCCTCTATGGAAAGCAAAAAGTGCCATAATACGCAAGTATATTCGCGCGTATTTTCGCGCGAAAATACGCGTGAATGTTCGTGCGGTTTTTTATATGATAATGAGCCCCTCCTTCTGATTTCCATAGCCAATAAGTTCAACGTTTCTGTAACCAATCAGTGAAGAGTAAAGCCAGACCAAAGCAATCTGTAGATGAAAAGTTCCTGACATTGTGAGGCTGTGAATTGTACATTATTCCAGATTCATGGGACTATGTATTAATTTGCCTTTCAATATAATAAATATATCAATCAATATAACCTGCCTTCATTGTCTTTTAAAATAAAATCGCCTTACCCTTTTCCTTAACCTGTTACGCACCGCCCCCCCCGGTACCGGGCGGATAAACGCGTCATTTGCAGGAAACAACGTCTAAGGAATCTTAATATTTAATAAACTATGAATGTTTTATATCCATGTAACGGGAAGAAACTCAGCTAACTGATCTTTTTAATTTTTTTTTCCAAAAAAACCCCACAATGCTAACACTCAGCCTCTGAATTAGCCACGAGCGAAAAAATGTAACCTAAAACTGCACCTAAACTCACTCATAACTCCCTTATTACTTATCCTAGATGCACAGCCAACCCCTCGATTAGCATCTCCTGGAGACACAGAATCTGTGTAAAAAACCTCAACACTCAGTGATAAACATTTGCGACACTATAAACGAAAGCATACATCAGAACATGTGAAAAACGATGCTGCAGTTAATCCATAGGTTAATCCAATGTGTCTGTGTCCTCTTTGAAATGATTTCTGATAATCCATAAGCAATAAAACTGCTTTTTCGTTTCCAAATGTCAGAGCTAGAGATAGGTCCACTCTGATGCAAATTACATGCGCGAAGCCCCCACCTCTTCTCTTCACAACGTGTGTGTGTGGGGGACTCCCCCTTTGATTCTATTGGCTCTATGGAAAAAAAAACATTTTCACCCAAATCACCTCAGAGGTGGAGTGGTTTTGGCTAAACCTCTCTAAAAAGGTCAAATGTCACTTGTTTTGCATCAATCTTGATACAGGGTACTTATTATATGTTGTACTTTGGATTCCTAAAGCTTTTAGTCTACTAACCCATCATCCAAGGGTAGTTTTCACTATAAGTAAAAAATAATTTTTGGACGGACACTATAATTTACAGTTTTTTACTATGTAAAATCTGAAGTTTCTTTAAAATAAAAAACATCTATATTGATTCTGACACTTCTACATCCAACTCACAGATGTAACCTTGCTTTGACAAAAGAAATTATTCATATAACCCTTTTAGAAGTTAAGTTGTAGTCATTTGTTTTGGGCATGTCATTTTCGAGCCTGAAACATGAAAAACAGGCTTGGTGCTTAACAGGTTAACTCTCTGGAGTGTGAAGTGAAGGGTATTTTCTCAATTTTAAATGTCTCCTTAAATCACCTTTTAAATGTACTTCTTATAACATGGCATGGTGTTACATATCAAAATGTTCAGTCTCTGGTCTTGCTAGAAATGCAAAGTCACTCACCTTAGAGCACTGTCTTATGAGATACTTAGCTTAGAAATCCAATTTTTGGAAAACTTAAAAACTCGATTTACTCATCATCCATTTTTTTTGGTGTTTCAGATTTGGTTTACCAACGTTTTTGGTTCACAAAAGTAGTGAAATATATGAATTACACTATAGGCCTATATAAATGTGTTATTCATGTCTAAAATGAAAATGTGTAAATTAGAATTTGGAGTAAAATAGTTCTATCACTCTACTTTCACCACAGAAAAGTTACATCAGGACTGATTCATGACTTCATATTCCATACTGAGGTTCATGTGATGTGTACAAATACAAATTGAGCATTACAACTTTTTTTTTCAACCAACTATTTATGTTAACATAAGAAACTGTAAAATCTCAATATTTACAATATCAGAACTTTCTCAACCAACTATTCATTATAGACTAAACGGAGTTCCGGTAATGGCGGACGGCTGAACAGGTGACGAGCCCCGACTCTCCGATCAATTCCATCCTTTTACCTATACTGACCAGTTAAATATTCATAAAAACCCACAGTTTGAGACATAAAACAATGGCAATCTGATATGCCAAAAAAAACACCAAAGCTGAAGCCAAATTGTTCCAGAACACGAAGGACTCCAACAACCAGGCAAGCTAAGCTAAAGATGGACACGGCTAATGCCAATGCCGATGGAGCCAGCGCGAGCCTCATAGCTAGCTCAGCCCAAGCTGAATCTAACGGCAAAATATTAGAAGCAATCCACTCCCTAAGAGCAGACGTTACCACCCGTAATGATGAGATTCTGGCTGCAATCTCGGAAATTAAAACGGATCTCAACTCCTACTCGGGAAGATTAACACAGGCCGAGGATCGCATTGGTGAGACAGAGGATAACGTGACAGTGCTTCATAACACAGTGAACGGGATGGAGAAGGTGATTACAGCACTCAAAGTAGAGAAAGTAGACGATCTTGAGAATCGCGATAGGAGGTCAAATCTACGTGTTATTGGTCTCCCAGAAAACGCTGAAGGTAGAGATGTGGAATCGTTTTTGGAGAAATGGATACCAGAAGTACTCGGTCCCGAAAACTTCCCAACACCGTTGGTTATCGAGCGAGCTCACAGAATCCCGGGTGGCAGACCGAAGCCCAACTCCCCTCTTATCCCGAGACCTCTCATCTTAAAGTTTTTAAACTTAAGGATAAAGTAAGGGTGATGCAGGCGGCACGAGCCAAGGGAAAGGTGATATACGGGACTCGCCATATCATGTTTTTCCCCGACTTCTCAGCGGAGGTGACGAAGCGGCGTATGAAGTATGGCGAAGTGAAGCAACAGCTCCGTACCCGGGGAATACAATTCGGCCTCATTTTCCCCGCGAGGATGTGCACGCTGCACAACGGGAAAAGACGTGTGTTCAATACCCCTGAAGAGGTTGAGTCATTTCTTCGAGATGGAAAGGATACAGACAACGGCTAGATGTGGTGAGTTTACATATTTGGATCATCCAGCGGAGCATTTTTTTTTTGTTTTTTTTGTTCCTATACTGACTGTACAACTTGAACTATGCTTTGTACCGACTTCAACGCTTCAAGCCTATGGATATATCCTGGCGTTACTGACGAAGAACGCACTGTAATTTCACTAGGTTTGACACTCCGCTATGTCCCTAGTTTGTCCGGATGCTCTGCTGGAATTAAGATAAAAAGCTAATACTATTGGACGCTAGTTTTCACTTGGAAATGATACGATCCACATTACGTCGTTTGAAGGTTAATCTGCATTCATATCTCTGTTCAGGCTTACTACCGCTCATTCATGCATTGTAACGCCCAACTACATTTTAAGCTTATCTCCGTTATCTCGATATGTGGTAGTGATTTAAAACAGTGTTGAATGCACCACATTTCATGTTTAGGGTGTGTTAAAAATACTGAATGGATGTTTAATTTGTCTTAATGTTTTGCAATATTTCGGATTTGTTGTTGCTTTTGGTCTCTCTCATCCCTCGAATATATATTGGTCGCAGTGGCGAGCCGTGACTTTTCTACCTAGGCCCTCTGACCCCCCCCCTTCCCTCGAAAAAAAGAAAAAAAAGAAGAGTTATTACGTCACAGCGTATACTTCAGCGGAATATCAGAACAACGGCCCGGGGTGCAAAACGCATCAATGACAGCGACCCTCTAGCACACAGAACAACACCATTTATCACCTATCATGACAGGGCACCCACAGCCAAGTAACAATTAAAAATGAATTAAGTCGGCATGGCGGCCCACATTGAAAATCACTTTGGCTTACCTTTGATGATCATATCACTGACACACAAAGTCCATCCTCCTGTCCTTTTGTATGAAGAACTTGATGGCGGGGTCATGCAGCTGATCCTTTGCTTTTAAAGCAATCAGCAATTCCTTCTCGATCGAAATTAAGGCCAAGTCTGACAGTCGGACTTGCCCAGTCGTGGACCTCGAGTAGCTTTTTATGCGCTTCAGCGCAGAGAATGACCTCTCCACAGAGGCAGTGGACACAGGTATTGTCAGGATGATGCATGAGAGGGTGTACACCTGCTTCATGCTTTCACTCAGTCCTTTTTTTAGGAGAAACTGATGAATGCCGGCTGGGCTTTTCCCCAAAATGTCAGACATGCCGTACATCACGGCGAGTTCCGTGTGCAGTCGAGGCTGGTCGAAATATCCGCCATAGCTCTCCATCAAACTGTTCAAGGCAGCAGTTGGGAAATAGTTACAGTAATGCCCGAACTGTTGCGGGTCCAGAAGGGCCAGGAATTCCAGCTTTTTGTGGTCACTGAAGCGGTTGGCAATCTGGGTTAGCAGGCTGTCAATTACGCTGCAGTGGAGCTCCCTGTACCGTGCGCGAACGTCTCCTTGAGCTCCACGGCCGCGCGGAGGGCCAACCAAAGCCTGGGTTTCATCGTAGACGCTGTCAAAGTTCCCCTTCTCCTGTTCAATTTGTCGCTGTAGCTGATCCACTCTGGCCAGGCAGAACTGCATATCAAAACCTTTGTTCTGAAGTATTTGAAAAACAACATCCGAGTAGGAGAAGATAGCGTGGAAGGTTTTCAACCAAAAGCTGAAATCGAAGCTGGTAAGGAGGGTGATGTATCCATCAGAGCAATGAACAGTTTCGTCATCAAACTCTGTGTGATGGTCTACGATGTGCTCGAACACCTACGAGAGTAATGCTTAGTTTAGAAAAAACAACTTATAGACCTCCAGTAAACACTAACATTAGCTTTTCATTTAATGTAATACTAGCATAGTTCTTTACCTTCATGTTTTTATGAGTGGGTAGTTTCCAACACTATATCATTTCTTTATTATTGTTAATATTTTCATTACGGTCATTATTATTATTATTATTATCTTACCTCTCTCAATTCCCTGGTCTTCTCTGCCACTGTGCACACCAAGCGAGAATGAAAGCACCAGCGAGTAGGAGCTGCCCGTGGAAGCCTATGCTGGCAAATATCATCCAGTAGCTTGGTGCGCTTTGCTGAGCGGCTGAAAAAGGTGGCCAAGCCAGAGAGGTGTGAGAAGAAGACCTTACACTCTCTTATCTTGGAAGCTCCCTTTGACAAGACGAGATTTAAGATGTGAGCATAGCAGTGAATGAAAAGGGCCTGTGGAATTGTTTCCTTAACTTTCGCTTGCACCCCATTCAATCCAGAGGCCATAACAGCTGCTCCATCGTAGCACTGCGCGACAACTTTGTCAATACAGCCACTCTCCCTCAGGAACTCCAGCAGCCGTGTAGCTTTGGCCTCTGCTCGTTTGTCCTCTGTCACATCTTCGTACTTGAAGAAACGCTCTTTTATCCCATCTTCAGTGACATATCGAAGCACATATGACATCTGTGCCACGTTGCTAATGTCTGTTGTTTCATCCAACATGACCGCGACAAAAGGTGCTTTCCTCAGCTCCTCTTTCATGCTATCCGTCATTACACTAGCGACAGCGCTGATCAGGTCATTCTGAATCCTCGAAGACGTGCCGGCAAAGACTGTTGATGTGGCGAGGTGTGTGTGCAGGTCGCTGTCATATTCTGCCACTAAATCCAGCAACTCTATGTAATTCCCCTTGTTTGATGAAGTTACACTCTCATCGTGACCTCGGAACGGCAACTCCTGCTTGCCTAAGTACACCACACAATTTATGAGGCGTTTCAAAATTCCTCGGTTCCTCTTCACCTTTTCATTATGAATGATGACACCCCGGCGTTGTTGCTCATCCAGCTGGAGCTCTATCCTGGTGTCCCCAAATGTTTTAAGGCGAATAGTAGCTCTGAGGTGACCTGAAGCATTCTGATGGCGATGTGCTGATTTGGATAAACTTCCTAAATCAGAATATCCATCTTTGGCCCATGACCCACTGTCCGCGCCAAAAAGCAAGCAATCCCAGCAGTACAGCTTTTGTTCCCTGGTTGATCCGGTCATCCAGTTGTATCTGGCGTAATTGCCGATATTAAAATGCCTCTCGAACCATTTGGTTTTTTGAACTAAATGAAGCTGTGGTGTTGGTCGCCCTTTGAAAATTAACTCCAATTTATCAGTGTAACTCATTCTTGAAAAAGACTCGGTTAGTAGTTTCGCAACGATGTCATCACTATCACTGACGTGAGCCATCGTGAATGAACGTATGCTAATTAGCTACTTCCGCCTAGCTTGACCGTTGTTATAGCACATGCATAAACTTGGCAGCGCAGCGGGCGGAACTTGTCATACAGTCCGTGATAATAAAGCCCACCCATTTAGAGGGAAGATATGATTGGTCAATTGTACTGTCACTTGACATTACTCTCTCGTTGTTTTACTATAGCGGGCCCTCTGTGAATCGCAGAGAGGGCCAGACGCGGTTCTTTCATGAAACCCTTCACATTCAAACAGAAACTGAACAGGAAGATTCGAAGGATTTATTTCTTTGGAAATGTTTTGTTAAATACAATTAAAATCAAGTTTTTTTTGGTAAAACATAATGGAAAATATAAAAAAAATAATATTAAAAATATATATATTTAAAAAAAATATATATTTTTTAAATGTTTTCAAATATTATTTTCTAGAATATGTTAGGCCCTCACAGAGGGCCTAGAGGGCCCTGACGGCTCGCCACTGATTGGTCGAAGATGAGGGGTTCTTGCAGTGGTTAGTTATTGGTTTAACTGCTCCTCTTAAAGGATCGGTTAAATAGCCTAGGAGCTCTTACATGGAAGAGGTGAGGAGGACGGCGCGTTTCGTTAAGGCCGTTGGTGAGAGTGTTTCACGTCTCGTTTGGGGAGACGGAGGGTTCATGCTTTCTTATGGTGTATTTTTGTATTTTTACGTTTGTTTATATGTGATCCTTGATGTGACAATGTGGTCTGGCAGACGAGTAGTTGCTGTTTCAATATTTACAATGAGGTCCCTTTTGATCATTTTGGAGAGATGGGTTAATGACACTTGATAATCTTTTTAAAATATCATCATGGAATGTTAGAGGGCTAGGGGGATTATCTAAGATAAAACAAGTAATGACTAGAATTAAAATGTTGCAATCCAAGGTAGTATACCTGCAAGAGACCCACCTAACATCCACTGAGATTTTGCGTTTAAGAAGACGATGGCAGGGTCAGGTCATAACTGCGTCATTTTCGTCACACTCAAGGGGAGTGGCAATACTCATTCATAAATCGGTCCCTTTTCAAGTGACGGACATCAATGCGGACATAGGGGGTAGATATATAATAATACAAGGTACCTTATTGGGTGAACAACTTAATTTAATAAATGTTTATGGGCCAAATATTGACGACCAACTTTTTTACAATAATCTTTTTCTAAATATCTCTTCACTTAGAGGCAACATTATAATGGGTGGAGATTTTAATTGCACCCTCAACCCTCTTGTAGACCGATCTTCAGGCATAGATGCCTCCCACATACAGACAAGGAGGGTGATCTCACAGTTCATGACGGATATGAGTCTATGTGACATATGGAGAGTCCTAAACCCTGACAAGAAGGAATTTTCATGCTACTCTTCCACGTACCATACTTACTCACGCCTTGATTATTTCTTAATCTCCAAAAACCTAATGCCAAATGTTAAGAATTGTACCTACGGCAGCATAGTAATCTCGGATCATGCCCCATTAACCTTGGACTACATTGCAGTAAAGCCATTTAAGGGTCCACCGAGATGGCGTTTTGATACAAAGTGGCTGCATGACCCAAGTTTTGTAAGCTTCCTGGATTCTCACATAGATATGTACTTCCAAATAAACACTACACAGACCTCTCCCTCTGTCAGGTGGGAGGCATTTAAGGCGTACATTAGAGGTCAGATAATTAGCTACACAAGCTCTAAATCGAACAAATTCCGTCGTCAAATGTCTGATTTAGAAAGAGAAATAAAACAACTAGAAAGGGACATAGCCCTTAACGATACACCTGATCTACAAAGCAAATTGACATTACAAAGAGCCCACTACAATGAACTATCGTCCAATAAAGCCTTGGCAAGTATCAACAGACTCAAACAGTCATTTTACGACCAAGGGGAGAAAGCAGGCAAATTACTAGCCTGGCGAATTAAGACATTACATGGCGAAAGAGCCATAAACGAAATTCAAAACAATGCTGGAAATATTACATTGGATCCTAAAGAAATTAACGAATCATTTAAAACATTTTATAATCACCTATACAAGTCTGAGCCCCCTGGCGACCCAAAGACTCAGTCAGTTTTTTTGGACGGGATACACTTTCCATGTTTGTCTGAGGAACGAAAAGCTAATTTAGATAAACCAATACAACTATTAGAATTGTCTGAGGCCATGACTAACATGAAGGGTGGAAAGGCAGCTGGCCCTGATGGGATCCCCATAGACATCTATAAAGCCTTTAAAAACAAACTGCTGCCACCGCTCCTGAATATGGTCGAGGAGATATTCGAAAAGGGTTGTCTTCTCCCAACCTTACAGGGTGCATTAATAACAGTTATCCTAAAACCAGGTAAAGACCCCTCCAGATGTGGCTCTTATAGGCCTATATCATTGCTTAACTCAGATACAAAATTGATCGCTAAAGCACTGGCTTTAAGACTTGAAAATCACCTGCCTACACTGGTGGGCCTGGATCAGAATGGCTTTGTCAAGGGCAGACAGGCCTTCCATAATATTAGGAGGCTGATCAATATTTTACATACAGAGAGGGGGGCTCCAGATACGGCCATTTTGTCCCTGGATGCTGAAAAGGCTTTTGACAGGGTGGAATGGCCGTATCTATTCGAAATATTATCCAGATTTGGGTTCGGGGAGGGTTTTTGTAGATGGATACAAATGTTGTATAGCACCCCAAATGCAGAAGTATTAACCAATAGCATAGTGTCTGCACCATTTGCACTATCGAGAGGTACACGTCAGGGGTGCCCTCTATCTCCATTACTATTTGTACTGGCAATTGAGCCCCTGGCTATCGCGGTTAGAACTCATTCTCATATCACAGGAATAACAGTTGGGGGCATTGAAAATCGCCTGGCCCTTTACGCTGATGATATTGTTTTATTTATAAAAAATGTATCAGTGTCATTGCCAGCGCTCAATAAACTGATAAAGGATTTTGGTACGTTCTCAGGGTATAAGGTGAATAGTTCGAAATCTAACATTCTTCTACTTAAAGAATCTGAAAGACTTAATCCACCTCTTCAAACAGATTTCCAAAATTCCCTGGAAGGCTTTAAATATTTAGGAATACAGATTACACCTGAAATAGAAGACCTTGTTCCAACAAACTATGACCCCATAATAGCTTCTGTGACAGATTCTATTAACAGGTGGACATCACTCCCTCTATCCCTAATCAGACGCATCAATATTATCAAGATGAATGTCCTACCTACATTTTTGTATCTATTTCAATCCCTGCCATTGCACCCACCATCCTCATTCTTTCCCAAAATGAAGAAAATCTTTACAAATGTTATCTGGAACAATCAGAGACCAAGGTTACGGCTATCCCTTTTATATCTACCTTATGAGAGAGGAGGACTCCAGGTACCCAATCTGTCCTGGTATTACTGGGCAGCCCAAATAAGAGCAGCAATGTGTTGGTTCTTGGACGGAACCCCCATACCATGGGTTGAAATTGAACGTTATACAACAACTCCACTACCACTGAATTTGTATTTGTTCTCTGACTCTCCAAAACAGCTTAAAAAGAATACAAAAAACCCTTTTGTCAGGAACACAGTTGATGTCTGGTTCAAAGTACAAAGCCACTTAGGTTTAAAGTCACAGATATCCTCTTTTACTCCTGTATGGGGTAACAGAAGATTTATACCAGGAACATATGACTCAGGGTTTAAAATGTGGGCCAACAGAGGCATCAATAAGATCAGTGATCTATATGATGACAACAAACTGATGACCTTTGAGATGCTAAGAAATAAACATCATATTCCCTCAACACATTTCTTTAAGTATCTGCAGCTAAGGAGTTATATATCTAAGGCACAAAATCACTCACTATTATGTCCACCTCTGTCAAAGCTGGAAACAATTATAGTACATCACTCCTCTGGTCATGGACAGGTGTCTTTGATCTATGACCTTTGCAAAACTGAATCAGAAGAGTCCTCAGAGAATAAAAGACTTGCTTGGTCTACTGATTTGAATGCAGAGGTAACAATTGAGGAATGGGGGCAGATATGCCACAAAGCCCTCAAACTATTAACACGAGGTTTAGACTCCTACAGTACAAATGGATTATGCGTACCTATATAACTCCATCCCTACTACACCATTTTGATGCAAATATTCCAGATCAATGTGTAAAGTGTGATAATGATAAGGGAACATTGTTCCACTGCTTATGGGACTGCCCAAATATTAAATCATTTTGGAAAGATGTTCTGGGCACATTGTCAAAAATAATTTCCGCCACATTACCAGAATGCCCAAAACTCTGTATTCTTGGGGTTTTCCCTCTAACTCCCAGACTTAATATCACTAAGAAAAGACTAGTAGTTTTTTCTCTTCTCCAAGCTAAACACACGATAGCTGTCTTTTGGAAAAACCCAGAAAACCCCTCGATCAATCACTGGTTAAAAAATCTCTCTCATTGTTTAGCCTTAGAAAAATTGACATTTGCCATAAAGGGAAAGCCTGAAGCGTTCCATCAAATATGGGGGGAATTCTTGGAGTTTTTGGAAATAAATGTACCTCCTAATTGACCATGTCCTCTATAATGGTTGGATGTGATGTGGCTACTTGTCTGCCGGCTTTGTAACTTGCAATGTTTAAATTACAATATTTACCACATGTCCACTTACGCGTATATATGTGTATATATTTTTTTTCTTTTTTTTCCTTTCTTTCTTGTATTTTCTTGTATTATTATGTTTTTGATTTTTCTTTGTGGGATATATACTTGTGCAATGTCTTATGCTGAAAAAACGAAATACCAATAAAAATATTTGTCAAAAAAAAAACTATTCATTATAAATGTAAAGACAGGGGGAGCAGTGTCATGGTCTTTGTCTGTCTTCCAAGACAGTGGGGCTGGCTGCTGTGTAGGTGGGGGTGATGGTGCATGGGCTGCTGGTGGCTGTGTCGGAGGGAGGTAGGTGTGATTGTCCCGGGTTGATGCTGGTGGCTGTGTGGGAGGTACGTCTGCTAGGCGAGACTTCTTTGCTGGCTGGGTTGATCGTGATGGCTGTGGTGGAGGCCTTTGTACCGAGGTGTATCTTAATCTTGTGGCAGGCACAGATGGAGGTGGAGGCTGCTGTAGTGATGCTGGTCCTCTGGTCCTCGGTGGTGATGGCTCTGGTGAAGGCCCTCGGTAGATCTTGACCTGGGGGCAGGCACAGATGGAGGTTCTTGCTGCTAGGCCCAGGCAGCTGTGAAATCTGAAAGAAATATAGGACAATAATTACTACTACAGTAAGTTCATTAAAATAAAGTTCAAGTGGAATGTTTCTCAAGTACAACTCAAAATAAAATGGGGAGGTGGGACAGGAGTCTCTCTCTCTCTCTTACACAGGTATTTTCCAGTTATTTTACATTCAGTATAAAATCACAGACACAAATATAAATACATCTATAGGTGTATATGTGTGGGACGAATAAAAGTTGATGTTATTCATCTACACATGTTACCTCACTTTTACACACAGCAATAACTTTTACACAGAGTAAACGTTTACTAACGGAGAGTCTATTTTGTCACAAGAGAAAGTTCATGACTATCGATAACAAAAAATGGATCAATAAACCTATAGTTCATTTTCGCGGTATTCCCCATGTAACCCCTGTGTTATGTCTTCTCTTTTTGATGGATCACTCGGAGATTGTCAGGTTTTTGAAAACACCTGCTTTATTCCATCTCCAATTCTATGGCAGAGGACAAACAAATAAAAAGGACACTGTTATGTTGTGCATCATGTTCCATTAGCGATCCCCAACGCATTGCTGATTACTCCATTATAATCCACTGCGATGTCTTAATAAGGCAGGCACACATTTACCACACTAGATGGCGTAGTTCTCCCATTTAGCAGGATTTTACTACAACCTATTTAACTATGTTACACCCACACAATGCAAGTACACTATTACTGTAATATTTACATTTACCTATCTTGAAATAGATAAACACAAAAAGAATACCCACATACCTGTGCAAACAGAATATAATGACAGCAGGAAATGGCTTCACCAGCTTTCTACGACAATAGAGGCTTCTCAATTCTTAAATTTCCCCTCCTCGACTCCCCTCCTCGACTCCTATCCTCGTGAGTTAGTCCCGCCCACAGGAGATGCGAGCGGAGGAGTCGAGGAGGGGAGCCGAGGAGAGAGGAGGGGAAGCAGCAGGCGGTTAGAGAAATGAGAACTCCTCTCCTCTGAGCGGTCATTTTAAAGAGACGTCCATTAATGATGACAGGAGGCACAGCAGCACTCTGTCTGATGGGCAGATGTGTTCATGACGACTTATATATTTACTTTTAATTCTTTCACAGTGCGGTATAATGAGACAATAACAGGCTACGGATGCGGACATACACACACATATATTTATATAAATATATACAATTTAAAGTATGAGAGCACTCTCATAATAACGTAACACAATCTGGATATATCCAGATTGTGTTACGTTACTCTCTCTGGTCGCTGAAATGGGGAATTGAAATTACGGGCCAAAAGTTGTATTTACAATTATTAAAAGTAAGCATAGGACACCAAACTAACTGAGACCCGTCTGTCCGCCGCATCTACGCACACACCTACACACTGTACAACACGCACCTACACACTGTACCACACACACACCTACACACTGTAGGCCTACCACACACACCTACAGCTCCTAAAGCATAATCAGGATACAGCCGTTGTGTATTTTATTATGTGAAGCACTAAATGGTCGTAGAAAAATATCGACTCTTTGTTTGTAGATATCTACTAAACTACAGCATACAAATACAGAGAGTAATGTAGGCCTGTTTATACTGAGTGATATATATTGTACACACTGCTCTGCTTTCTGCACGGACCTCACAGCTGTTCTCTCTGTAAACATCGCGTCGCGATGAAAGCAGTTACTAAAATAATATCCAGGAGATGCATGCAGAGCTGTCATTGGTTGAGATAAGTCCGGCCGTGCGTCACGACTCCACCGTTCCCGGAAATGCATCCACGAAGGAGCCGTGGAGGACCGTGGAGGATGCATCAATGTATCCTCGGTTATAGCTCCTCCAGAGAGCCTCCTCGATGCTCGATGCTCGGTCCTCGATGTGCATTTAGAGAAATGAGATGTCCTTCAACATGGCGCGCTGAAATCCATTTCCGGGTCACTATCGGAGGACCGAGGAGGAGTGGAGGAGTCGAGGAGGGGAAATTTAAGAATTGAGAAGCCTCTCATACGTAGAAGAAAACACCCACATGCTAGGTTAGCATAGCTACACTTTAGAAAGCTCACAAACACTGTTTGAAGCGCTGCACATTATATAAACTACCGTTACACACGGCAACATATAGACATTAACTGCAAACAGTCGTGACTTGTGTGAAGTGTAACATTAAACAATCTATTAACATATTAAATACAACATTTATGACACCACTCGTTCCACTTACTTCTCCTCAGTGAGGCCTGAAGCTAACTTAAAGGGGACCTATCATGCAAAATGCACTTTTGTACGTCTTTTATACATGAATATGTGTCCCCGGTGTTCCAGGGAACTCACCAAGTGTCAGAAAACACAACCCTCTCTATTTTCCTCCATACCCAAATCTCTAAAAAATAATAATAATCTAATTTTCTCTTTGACAGGGAGCTTGGTACACACCTGGCCGAAATCACAAACCTGCTACAGGTTTCCTGGAGGAGCGCTTGAGGAACGTCAGGAAGCGCATGAGAATGCTGAAACGACCACGCCACCAAAAACAACAGGAGGAACAGACACCTAGTACACCAGGTAATACTAATAACCAATGTTAATTATCCCCGCCAGGCTAGAATGGACAAATGCAAGGGATTATATTTTCGGTCCGGTGACTCTTCTGTCCATCCATCTTCTAAAAGCTAGTCTCAGGCACCGCTGGACCGATTGGCGACTTTTCACACACTCTCCAATTAGGCCAGAACCCCAAATGTTTGAAATCAGCTATAATGAATCTGAGGACCTCTGTACTTATCATTCAACAGAATCTGATGTGCCTCCTGAAAAACTTCTAGAAATGGTTGAATGGATGAAGGTCAATAGGTATCCAGTGTCCCAAGTTGAGGACTACATGAATCAAACAGCTCTACAGAGAGGCAAGTGGATTCGCAGCAATGGATCTAAAAGCCTCCCGGAAATCTTGACTGAGTTCCCTAGGCTTGTAGACAATCCTGGCATGGTAAGAAATTATTTTGCTATTGCGGTTTTGTCTATTTGAATGATACTCTATTTGTGTTAGGATTTGAGGTAAGGCCCCAAATGCAGATTGAGGAAAAGCGGGTTTCAAAGTGTAACAAAAGGCGAGCTTTAATTACAAAAAGCTGTTGACAATGAAAAAACAAAACAAAACCATATTCTCGTGGTTTCCTTGCGTCTCTCCATGCTTCCCTGGTGGGAGGGACTAGTCGCAGGGAAACAACGCAAGAGAGGGATGCAAGGAATCCATTTAACCGAAGTGAAACGCAGCCAAAGTGAACACAATCGGGTTATCAGGCAGGAGGGAACACAGAGACAGGAAGCAACAGACAAGCCGGGGGGGGGGTGAACACTTTTCAAAATAAAACAGGAAACCAAAGACAGATCTAGACATGACAAAACACAACACAGACAGATCGTGACAATTTGACTGATACTCTGCAATGCACTACAAGTTTATGTTTAACCACTTAGACCCTACAGTATATACTTTGTAATAATTTACCTGTTGAAGTGACACTGGCTGTCAAATTGTCCCCTAACCCTTTTCCTAACAGGTACTACAAGCCCATATCATTTCTTTAAACACTGTTCTATTGTTTTTCATGTTTTTCAAAATGTATCAGATATCACAAGACTTCCAGCAGCTTCATCCAGAGGCAGTGGGAAAACTGTTTCAGAACTGGGCTACTACGAGTGACCGAATCCTTACATATGCCCAGCGAGAGGGAAAACTGCCCTTGGTGTTTGATGACATGACACCAGGTAAGCTATTTCTTACTATGTAACACACACACACACCGGTTCTTTGAAAATAGCAGATCTACAAGCTTGCATTGCGTCCCAATGAGACTCGTTGTGAGCTTGTAGATCTGCAATTTTTTTAATATTTTAACAATCATCTTGTATGGGGTCCCTTGCACAACATGTTTTCGGATGGGAGTCTTTGGACAAATACATAAATACATGAACAAGTTTGTGAACCACTTCATTAGATACCTTGTTGTCTTTCTTTGATTCCTGCTCCCCCCCTTCCTTTTCTTTCTCTTTCTGGAAACAATCAAAACGATGGAGCTTGCACAAAAACAAATTTCACCCACTGTTTTACACCTGTAAACCTGTGATGTGACAATAAAGATTCAGATTCTGATAAGATGTCACAACACTTCCTGTGATTATAATAGGCTATACAATTCACGCCTTGTTTTTACCATTCAACACCAGGGCAGAAAAGTCAATATTGCTTCAGAAATATCAATCTTTATATACTATTTAAATGTTGATGTTAATATGTATTATTCTTATATTGGGTAGACCGAGCTTTGAAAGTCCTGCCGACTCTGCTTCCTCCATCGGTCTACAAGATTGGAGGAAAAGTCCACAGACCCACCATAGAGGAGTCCCGCAAGTCCTTCATTAATATCCAACCAGTAAGTTTTACTTTTGTTTTTCTACTTCAATAATGGTGGGTGTTTCTGTGTTTATATACTAGCATTTTCATACTTCCATAAAAAAGATAATAAAAACAACATGCTTAACTTAAATGGCAGGTTATATTGCAAGTAACTGTTGTGTAATTAACAGGTGGGGACCAACATGGTACAGTACCTACAGACAGCAGAGAGAACTCAACCCTTCCCGCACATCTTGTGTCTTGGTGATGACATGACAACATGCCAGACCTTCACCATTGTGTCAGACAACGCCATTGAAACGGACACTTTGCTGGGTGCAGTAGATCTTTGTTTTAAGGCTTTCTTTGTGTTTGACATCAATTACACAAAGCAGTGTCTCCCTACCTGGGAGTTTATCCAACAGGCAGTATATGAAATTGATGGACATGAATCCTCAAATGTCAAATTTTTGAGGACATCAATTGCAGCTTAGGCCTAAAAGTACACAGAGAGAGAAGTAGCCTTTTAGTGATGTGATTGTGTCAAACAAGTTGACAGCTGCTCTCTAAAAATATGAATGACACAAAAGATGATTGTAAAACACAGTAGGCACACACTTTAATTGTGTCAAAACATTGACACACGTTTACCTACTAGTCCTGTTAATTCATTTATTTTTATTTTATTTTTATTACTTTACGTGATTTTATTTACTTATTTAATTTACTTCATTTATTTATTTACCTTGTTATGTTTGTGTCTGTATATAGTTTCTGCCGGGAAGAGAAATGTTTTATCTCTATATTTAAACATGTTTTTTTTGTTTGACAAATGTTGTCTCGTGCAAAAGTAGCGAAAATAGCTGATCTGCAAGCTCACAATATGTCAGCAAATGATTTTGTCTCCATTGTTCTTTTATAGTGGAAATGGAATGTTGGCGATTTGCCAAAGCTGTTGAAATGATCAATAAATGCATTTTTTATATATATGGTGTGTTTGGAGATGATTATTATACATTATTATTATATTCTATTTAGCCCAACAATATAGTTAATTTCAATCAATAGCTTGAGTCAAATGAACAACCCAATGTCTGGTTTATATTTAACCCAGTGATATAGTTAATTTCAATCACTAGCTTGGGTCAAATAAACAACCCAATGTATGGTTTATATTTAACCCAGTGATATAGTTAATTTCAATCACTAGCTTGGGTCAAATAAACAACCCAATGTATGGTTTATATTTAACCCAGTGATATAGTTAATTTCAATCACTAGCTTGGGTCAAATAAACAAACCAGCACATGGGTTAAAATTATCCAGCCCAGCAAATGGGTTAAGACAACCCAGCGTGTGTTCTGTCCTATAGTGACTCAGCAGCTGGGTTATGATTGGGTTATTTTTTAACCCAGTAGTTTTAAGAGTGTATGGCCCTACAATATATCATTTAAATATAGCATGATAGGTCCACTTTAAGAAAGTAGCACGAGTCTGCAGCAATGTGCCGGTGCCAAGAGTACCAAAATAAAACGCACTCTTCAAAATAAAAGCATCTAAGAAATAAAGTGACAGTGACAAGTTTTACAAAGAAAATATGGACAAAGGATTTTAGTGAAATATAAACAAATGAAATGATACATCGGTTACATCTGATCTCAATGTAAACATACATTTACATTTAGCAAATCAAAATAACTGTATGACATATTTGTCTCTAATCAAAATGGAAATCAATTCACATGCCATATTATGACTTTTCTGAAGGATTAAAGCCTTCTTCATTTACAGTATATAATACAGTGATAACACACACAACCCGGTTGACTGTACTCCCTTTAACCTGGCTCTGTTGTACGCTGACAGGCACAATATTAGCATAGCATCAGCGCTATTAGCATTTAAATAATGGGAGCAATGATGACCTCAGACCAGCATTTCACATATATATACAAACAGAATACACTTGAAATGTAAGCCAAACTAGTGCACGGGAGTCATACACCTAATAACATAGTAGTTTGAGCCCTACATTATTCAGGGGATGTAGGAATGTGTCATAGTAGAAATGTGCAGCCCAATGAAAGAAGGAAGCATAAAGCTTGTCAATTTCTATAACCCGTGTAAAAATCTTCACATTGAAACTTTACAGACAATAGCAGGGACGAGTCATATAAGGGAAGTATGGTGTGGTGATTGTAATGCTCACAACAGCCTATGGGGAAGCATTCAAACAGACAGTAATGGGGATGTTGTAGAAGAAATGTTAGAGGAAAGATCATTGTTTTGCCTTAATGATGGACAAAAAACAAGAATAGACGTGAATAGGGGGACACAATCATGTTTGGACCTCACAGTTGTGACGGATAGTTTAGTTAAATCGTGTGAATGGTATGTAAAAAGTGACTCTACCATAGGAAGTGATCATTACCCAGTTTTCACTATCATCAACACAAATGTATGAAGTGAGTATATTTACCAGGTGGTGCTTTGGTAAAGCAGACTGGGAGAAATGTAGACTTTGCTGTAAGGAGTAAGGAGCATTAGAAGGAAGTATAGAGGAGTGCTCAAATCAAATCACAATGCACATTAAAGAAGCAGCAAATAAAACTATACCAAAAATAACAACAGAGGGTAGGAAGAAAGTGGTGCCGTGGTGGAATGAGGAATGTAGCAGAGCTATTAAAGAACGAAACAAGGTATTCAGTAACTACAGACCCATAGCATTAACATCACACTTGTGTAAATGGATGGAGAAGACGATAGTGTATAGACTATCACATGTCTTAGAACAAAGAGGGTTACTGAGTAATTTTCAGAGTGGTTTTCGCAAAGGAAGATCCACAATAGATGCTTTGGTTAGAGTAAGCAATGAGGTGGGAATACAGTGTAAAGACACTGAAAATGAAAGAGGTTATGGCAATAGTATATTTTTGACATTGAAAAGGCTTATGACTCTATGTGGAGGGATGGGTTACTCATCAAATTAAGTGACAGGTAACAGTGACAGTAACAGTAACAGGATCATGGCTTTTTTATCAGACAGGAAATTCAGAGTTCAAGTAGGGGCAGAGGTTTCAAAAGAGTTCAATATAGAAAATGGTATTCCCCAAGGGAGTTCAATCAGCCCGATATTATTTAACATTATGATAAATGACATATTGACTAAGTTGGACGGATGCATCAAATCTGCGTTGTATGCAGATGACGGGGACATATGGATAAGGGGAAGAAATGTTCCATATGTGTTTGAGAAGATAGGCAAAGCTATAAAGAAAGTGGAGAAGTGGTCATACAACTGGGGTTTCAAGCTGTCAGCAAGCACATCTTGCTTCATGACATTTACAAATAAACGCAAGATGGAGACTGAGAAGCTTACATTATATGGAAAGCCGATGAATGAGGTCAATGCATTTAAATATCTGGGGCTATGGTTAGATAGTAAATGTACATGGAAAACCCATATTAAACATTTGGAAACAAAATCCCAAAAAGTTTTGAACCTATTAAGAGCGGTGGCTGGATGTGACTGGGGGGCAGACAAACAGGCACTAATTGACATCTATAGGGCAATTATGAGGACAACTCTGGATTACGGGTGTATAATATATGCAGCAGCAGCAAAAACGTCATTACTAATAATTGATAGATTACAATATCAAATCAAATCAAATCAAGTTTTATTTATATAGCACATTTATAAACGATTTTTGGTCGAGCCAAAGTGCTGTACAAATAATAAAAATACCCTACAGTAAAGACATTTTACAGCTAATACAACAGCACAGTTTATTCAAAATATCAGTATGAGAAAAAACGACACCCTCTGTCCTTAGACCCTAACATCGTACAAGGAAAAAAACAATATAAATATAAATAAAACAATATAAAGCGTTACGGTTGTGTATAGGTGCAATTAAGTCAATAATTATCACAATTACCTCAAAATATACACAGATGGTTCTAAGAACAAGGAAGAGTGTGTTGGAGTTGGTATATATATCCCAGACTTTAAAATATCTATTTCAAAAAGAGCGTCTGATCAATTATCAGTGTACACAGCAGAAACGCTTGCTGTAATAATAGGATTACAGTGGGTTGAAGAGGTCAGACCAGATAGGGTGGTGATGTGCACAGATTCATTATCCATATTACAAAGCATACAATCAACAACAACTGCCAGAGAAGACATTCTCATAGAACTGAATCATAGCTTGTTAAGACTTCACAGAGGCGGCATAGATCTGCAGTTCTGCTGGGTGCCTGCACATGAGGGGGTGAAAGGGAACGAATGTGCTGATAAATGAGCAAAAAGTGCACTTCAAAAGGAAATCACATTACCAGTTCAACTTGGTAAAGGAGAAGGAAAAGCAGTAATTAAGAAAAAAGGGACAGTGCACATTGATGAACATTTAAAACAAATAATGCTTTAAAACGTAAACATGCCGGATTTTAGCTTTGAGCTAGTTTCCATCCGTAGTCCCTCACATACAACATTTAAGAACATGACATTTATATACATAGCAAAATAAATACATGATATGCAGAAAGAGCATGAGCAGCATATAAGCACATGGCAGTACAATGTAGCAGCTACCACATGTAAAGTCCAGGAGAAGATAAAAGTGCAAGAGGAGATACCCCTGTATTAAAGTGCATCTTGCGGTGATTACACGTCTGTTTGTTTCTCAACGATTCTTTGAGTTGACCTTTAAAACTGTTCAAAGTGGGACAATCCCGTATCTCAGTTGGGAGGCTATTCCACAAAGAGCTGCCTTTAATTGATAGAACATTTTGACAGAAAGTGGTCCGTCTGTGGTGGACCTCACAGTCTCCTCTGGTTTCTGACCTAGTGCAGCGTCCACTGTGTTTTCTGTGGATGAATTCCCCTAAGGGGGGGGGGGGGCAGTCCATGTAAACATTTATAAATAAAACACATACTTTTAAAAGACTTAAAATTGTCAAAACTCAAGAAATTGTGTTTTTCAAGGATGGCACAGTGGTGGGATGAATAAGGCTTTCTGTCAAACACCTAGTGGCGTGTGGCGCAGTGGATAGAGCCTTGGTGTTGGGATCATGGGGTCACAGGTTCAAACCCCACTGCAGTCAGCATGACCTTGTGTCCCTGGGCAAGACACTTCAGCCCAAATTGTTCCTGTGGGGATTGTCCACTGAGTATGTAACAACAACTAGTAACGGTTAACACCTTGATAGCTCTCTTGTACAGCTGTTCTATAGGTTTCAGGTTTGTGGCACAAGCAAACGACCAGTTTGTAAAACAGTATTCAATGTGGGATAGAATCATACAGTGGAGGTATGACTTTGCAGCATTGACAGTTAAGAAAGGTCTAATTTGTTTAAAATGTTGCAAGTTGAATTTAACGGTATTGGATACTTTCTTGATATGTTTCTTAAAAGTCAAGTTCGAGTCCAGTATGACTCCAAGATACTTGAAGTGGGAGACTAGTTCTAATTCTGCTCCGTTTAAAAACACATTGGATCCTTCGATTTTGACTGGTCGTTTACTGAACATCATGCATACTGTTTTTTTTGCATTTAACTGTAAGCAAATGTTGT